AATGAAATCTTAATAATTACCATTTGAGAGACAGAGAGAAAGATGTAAAGAATATTTATTCTTGTAGACATTAATATTTTACGTGAAAGCAGTAAAATATAAGCTTTTTTTTTTTTTTTTTTTTTGAGGAATTGATTAGTTATTCCTAATGAAAGAAAGATTAATAGTTAGCTAATTAAAATATATAGTATATTTTTGTTATGAAAATTCCTTAAAGTATGTGTATATTGTTAGATATAAAATTTTAAAATTTAAATTCCTAAATCATAGGTGAATTCAATACCCAGTGATATTTAAATTTTAAACTTTAAATTTCAATTGTTAATAGCCAAAGATGTTCTTCTCTTTTTAAAATATAACAAAAAATTAACATAATTGGATTGGAGTTTTGAAACTCTTGGAGCTCTCAAAATTAAAAACCCACTTTCCCTTATATATAACTAGCATATCACCCGTGCTATGTACGGATTCTGTTTACAATTATCTATATATGTGAATTGTGATTTTTAATATTTTTTTTAAATGTCTTCTTTTTTTTTCTTTTTTTATATTATATTAAAGTTTAATATTTTGATAATAATCATATGTGTTGGACTTTTCAATGAATTAAATGTCTTTTTTTTATTATATTATATTAAAGTTTAATATTTTGATAATAATCATATGTGTTAAGACTTTTGAAGAAATTTTTTTTATGCTTGTTCTTAATGCATTAAAGTGTTATTATGAGGGATAATAATCATATGTGTTGGGACTTTTCAAGGAATTCATATGTATTGGATTTCAAAGAATTTTTTTATACTTGTTCTTAATGTATTAAAGTGTTATTATGAAGATAAGACTTGGGAGTTGGGAGAAGTTAATAAATGTTATGAGGGATAATAATCATATGTGTTGGGACTTTTCAAGGAATTCATATGCATTGGATTTCAAAGAATTTTTTTTTATGCTTGTTCTTAATGTATTAAAGTATGAAGGTAAGACTTGGGAGTTAGGTGAAGTTAGTAAATGTTAAGATTTTTTTTTTTTTTTAAAATCAAGAAGTCAAGAAATTTAGATTGGGAGATTGGAACTCCGACAAGGCTTGGGGTTAAAAACCCCATTTTGCTTAATATATAGTATAGATACTAGCCTATCACTCGTGCTATGCATGAGATAATTATAGATATTTATATTTGTTTTAGATTTTTTTTAATATATAAATTATGTTTTTAAAGATTTTTTATAAAAATAATTTAACAATCTTATCACTAACCATAGTATGTGAGAGAAGTTGAAAATGATACTGCAGCAACTATACACGGATTGTATGCATAATTATTTGTATGAGGGGATTTTAAATGTTGACCAGAGGATTTTGACCACATCCATAAATGTAGGCATGTGCAAAGACATGTGGATTGAAAAAAAGTTAATAAATGCTGATCAGGGAATTTTGACCAAATCAATAAATGCTAAGTTTTTTTTTTTGAAATAAAATTTTTTAAAAATTCAGATTGGGATATTAAAACTTCCACAGGCCATGGGGGTTAAAAATACCATTTTGCTTAATATATAGTATAGATACTAGCATATCACCTGTGCTATGCACAGATTGTGTTTACAATTATCTATATATGTAAATTGTGATTTTTAAATGTTTTTTTTTTAAATGTCTTCTTTGTTTCCTTTTTTATATTATATTAAAGTTTAATATTTTGATAATAATTATATGTGTTAGACTTTTCAAGGAATCAAATGTATTTTTTTATTATATTATATTAAAATTTAATATTTTGATAATAATTATATGTGTTGAACTTTTAAATTTTTTTATACTTGTTCTTAATGCATTAAAGTGTTATTATGAGGGACAATAAATTCATATGTGTTAGATTTCAAAGAATTTTTTTTATGCTCGTTCATAATGCATTAAAGTATTATTATGAGAGTAAGACTTGAGAGTTGGGAGAAGTTAATAAATGCTAAGATTTTTTTTTTAAATAAAAAAATCAAGAAATTTAAATTAGCAGATTGAAGCTCCCACAACGCTTGGGGTTAAAAATCCCATTTTGCTTAATATATAGTAAGTATAGAAGTACAGATATAGATAGACAGATAAATAGATAGATAATAAAGTTTAATATTTTGATAATAATCATATGTGTTGGACTTTTCAAGAAATTTTTTTTTATGCTTGTTCTTAATGCATTAAAATGTTATTGTGAGGGATAACAAATTCATATGTGTTGGATTTCAAAGAATTTTTTTTATACTTGTTCTTAATGCATTAAAGTATTATTATGAGGGTAAGATTTGGGAGTTGAGAGAAGTTAATAAATGCTAAAAAAAAATTTTAAATCAAAAGATCAGGAAATTTAGACTGGAGATTGGAGCTCCCACAAGTTTAATATTTTGATAATAATCATATGTGTTGGACTTTTCAAGGAATTAAATGTCTTTTTTTTATTATATTATATTAAAATTTAATATTTTGATAATAATCATATGTGTTGGACTTTTCAAAAAAATTTTTTTATGCTCATTCTTAATGCATTAAAGTGTTATTATGAGGGATAATAAATTTATATGTGTTGGATTTCAAAGAATTTTTTTTATGCTTGTTCTTAATACATTAAAGTATTATTATGAGAGTAAGACTTGGTAGTTGGGAGAAATTAATAAATGCTAAGATTTTTTTTTTTAAATAAAAAAATCAGAAAATTTAGATTGGGAGATTGGAACTCCCACAATGGTTGTAGTTAAAAATCCCATTTTGCTTAATATATAGTATAGAAGTACAGACATAGAGAGATAGATATTAAAGTTTAATATTTTGATAATAATCATATGTGTTGGACTTTTTAAGAAATTTTGTTAATGCTTGTTCTTAATGCATTAAAGTGTTATTATGAGGGATAATAAATTCATGTGTTGGATTTCAAGGAATTTTTTTTTATATTTGTTTTTAATGCATTAAAGTATTATTATGAGGGTAAGACTTGGGATTTGGAAGAGGTTAATAAATGCTAAGATTTTTTTTAAAATAAAAAAAATCAGGAAATTTAGATTGGGAGATTGGAGCTCCCACAAGGCTTGGGGTTAAAAATCCCATTTTGCTTAATATTTTAAACTAGCATATCACCCGTGCTATGCACGAATTGTGTTTATAATTATCTATATATATGTGAATTGTGATTTTTAAATATATATATTTTTAAATGTCTTCTTTTTTTTTCTTTTTTATATTATATTAAAGTTTAATATTTTGATAATAAGTATATGTGTTGAACTTTTCAAAGAATTAATTGTCTTTTTTATTATTATTTTATTATATTAAAGTTTAATATTTTGATAATAATCATATGTGTTAGACTTTTTAAGAAATTTTTTTTATGCTTGTTCTTAATGCATTAAAGTGTTATTATGAGGGATAATAATCATATGTGTTGGGACTTTTCAAGAAATTCATAATAATCATATGTGTTGGACTTTTTAAGAATTTTTTTTTATGTTTGTTCTTAATGCATTAAAGTGTTATTATGAGGGATAATAATCATATATGTTGGGACTTTTAAGGAATTCATATGTGTTGGATTTCAAATAATTTTTTTAATGCTTGTTTTTAATGCATTAAAGTGTTATTATGATTGTAAGATTTGGGAGTTGAGAGAAGTTAATAAATGGTAAGATTTTTTTTTAAATCAAAAAATCAAAAAATCAAGAAATCTCTTAAAGGCAAAAGGGGTGGATATGGTGTTGATCCAAGAAACTAAAAAGTCAAGTATTGATGAAAGATTTGTCAGATCTCTATGGGCAGAAGATGCACTGGGGTATATGGAGGTGGAAGCAGTAGGGAGTGCAGGGGGTTTGTTATGTCTATGGAAACCTCACGTGTTTCAGTTGAAGAATTGTTGCAGTTCTAGGAATTTTATTCTGCTATCAGGTATGGTTTATCACAGTTTTGATTGTGTTGTTGGTAATGTCTATGCCCCTAATGATTGTAGAGGTAGAAGTCAACTGTGGAAAGTCCTTTATAACCTGAAAGCATCCTTCCCAAAACCTTGGTGTTTAGGGGGGGATTTTAATGAAATTAAAGCTATTGGAGAAAGGAAAGGCTGTGTGAGAAGAGATAGGGGGATGCAGGAGTTCAATGAATTTTTAAATAATATTGAATTGGTTGATGTTCCTATGCTTGGTAGGAAATATACATGGAGTAATTCACAGTCAGGTGCATGCTGGAGTAGGATCGATAGGTTCCTATTAAATCCGGAATGGCTTGTGTGGTTTAAATTTAAGGTATGGGGCCTGCCTAGAATACTGTCTGACCACTGCCCAATTTTATTGAAGGAAGATGATAGGGATTGGGGTCCCAAACCATTCAAATTCTTAAATGCCTGGGTGCTACATCCCAGCTTTCTTAAAGAAGTTGAAAAGGTTTGGGTTGGTACACAAGTGGAAGGGTGGGCTGGATTCAGAATTATGGTGAAATTGAGAACACTTAAACAAGCTCTAAAGATTTGGAATGTGGAGGTATTCGGACACGTGGAGTCCAAGCTCAAAGAAGCTGAGGCTGAGCTACACTCGTGGGATCTAATAGCTGAAGAGAGAGATCTTGTAGAAGTTGAAGTTAGACAAAAAACTGAGATCAGAGATGAAGTGTGGAAGCTTAGAAAAAGGCTAGAGTGGCTATGGCTGCAGAAATCCAGACTGAATTGGTCCTTAAAAGGGGACAAAAACACCAGATATTTCCATATTATGGCATCGAGAAGGCATAGTAAGAACGTCCTTGATTCACTGAAGATTAATGGTACCCTATATGAGGATCCTGCGGAGTTGAAACAAGCAGTGGCATCAAAACCAGATTCAATAGAAGCATTGATCAAAACCAGATTCAATCTTGTTTGGTGAAGGAGTTCTCAAGAACAGAGGTTTGGGCAGCAATAAAGGAATGTGATGGAAATAAGGCCCCGGGGCCAGATGGTTTTAATCTCACTTGCTTCCAAAAGGGATGGAAATTTATGAAGGATGATATTATGAAATTCATGCAAGAGTTTCATGATAATGGTGTATTGGGTAATGGAATCAATTGTTCTTTTGTGACCCTCGTTCCCAAGATAGCGAGCCCAGAAGCAATTACAGACTTTAGACCTATCAGCCTAATCAGTTCAATCTATAAAGTGGTGGCTAAAGTTTTGGCCAACAGGATGAAAGTAGTGGTGCCAAAAATCATTGATAGAGTTCAATCAGCATTCTTAAGTGGTAGGAATATTATGGATGGTGTTCTTGTTGCAAATGAGATTGTGGATTGGTGGAAGAAGACTAACAGAAAGGGGCTAATCATTAAGTTGGATTTCGAAAAAGCCTATGACACTGTCAACTGGAATTTCCTTTTTCAAATGCTAGAGAATTTTGGTTTTGGACCTACCTGGACCAAATGGATAAAGGAATGCATTTCTTCTGCTAGAGTGTCAATTCTTGTTAATGGGTCACCATCAACAGAGTTTTGCCCTCAAAAAGGTTTAAGGCAAGGTGATCCTTTATCCCCTTTCTTGTTTAATGTTGTAGCTGAGGGTCTGAATATACTCATATCAAGAGCTAAAGATATGGGTTTGGTTAGAGGTATATCTGTAGGTGCCAATGGGTTGAATATATCTCATTTACAATTTGCTGATGATACAGTGCTGTTTTGTGAGGCTGAAGGGTCACAAATTTTGGCTATAAAAAGAATCCTTAGGTGTTTTGAAGTAATTTCAGGACTAAGGATCAATTTTTCCAAAAGTGTTGTGTGTGGGGTGGGTGTGGCAGAAGTGGAGGTTGATGAGTTTGCAAGGAAATTGAATTGTTTAAGCACGAAATTACCATTGAAGTATCTAGGATTACCACTGGGAGCCAGCCCTAGCAGGAGGTTGACTTGGAGGCCAGTTGTAGAGAATTTCAAGAAAAAGTTAACTGGGTGGAAGAGAAGAGTGTTATCTTTTGCTGGTAGAGTCACACTCATTAAGTCCGTGTTGTCTGCTTTACCTGTGTATTACATGTCTCTTTTTAAAATACCTGCGTGTGTTGCTAAAGAGTTGGATAGGATTCAAGCATCATTTTTGTGGGGTGACTCTGAGCGTAGTAGGAAGTTGCATTTAGTCAGGTGGAAAGAAGTGTGCATGAGTGTGAAACAAGGAGGGCTGGGGATCAAAAACATCAGCTTAGCCAACGATAGTTTGCTCTTAAAATGGTGGTGGAGATATGGGCAAGAGGATGAGGCACTATGGAAGATGGTTATTTGCGAAAAGTATGGTTCAGATGGGGGTAGATGGTTCCCTGATAAGGAAGCTCATGGTCCTATATCCCAGATTTGGAAAGACATCTTATCAGTGGCGCAGAGAAATGGCAGTATTATCCAATTTTACAAGGATAATGTGGAAATCTTAATAGGTAATGGGCAAAGAATTAGTTTCTGGAGAGACAATTGGTTGGGTTCAACAAATCTTTTAAGCCAATTCCCTAGATTATTCCAGTTGGTTAATGATAAAGAGATTTCCCTGAATGTTCAAGTAGCCAGAAGAGTTAGTCAATCTGGGTGGGCTTTCAACTTCAACAGACCACTTCGGGCTTGGGAAGAAGGAGAGCTGGTCAGGTTAACCACTGCTCTGGGGTCAGGCCCTCTTCTCAGAAGTGATGTAGCTGACAGTTTGGGTTGGAAGGCTGCTCAGCCAGGTACTTTTAAGGTTAATGCTGTTTATGCTTGGGGTATGCTCAATGATGGTCCTACTCACAGATCAGTCGATCTTATCTGGAATAATTTTTCCCCACCGAAAGCAAAATTTTTTTCTTGGCTAGCTTGGAGAGGAAGATTGAAAACCAAAGATTTGCTTCATAGGGTTGGAATTCTAGAGGGGGAAGAAGTCCTTAATTGTATATTCTGTCAGGAGGCCAGAGAATCTCTTGACCATGTTATGCTTCACTGTTCTTTTACTTGGAAAATTTGGTCTGCTATTATCGATTGGTGGGGTATACAATGGGTTATTCCCAAATCCATAGAGGGTCTCTTAATCTGGTGGCTGGGTTGGAAGTTTAGGAAAAAAGTAAATCTGGTGTGGAAGACCCTCCCAGCAGCAGTGTTGTGGTCTGTGTGGAGTTATAGAAATGAGTGTGTGTTTAAGGCAGTCCAACCCAATTTTCAGGCCCTGTGTGAATGTATCAAGGTGAGGTTAGCAATGTGGATGAGATCTCAATTCAGGGATGCTTCATTTTCTGTTAATGATGTCGTGTTTAATTTTTCACAAGTCAGGTGTTGTTTAGGATCTTAGTTGGTGAACTCTATTCTGCTAATAGACGCAGGTTAAGCTCTGCTGGTTGCAAGTGTTGGTGGCTGAAGGGGGTGCCCTGTTCTGTTTGAGCTCTTTCCTCTGATCCCACGCAGGTGTGCTGGTAGTCAGCCTTCTGAATTGGCCATTGTTGCAGCACAATTCTGGTTTGGATGCATAATTATGTGCTGCTAGTTGGCTATAAATTTCTGTTCTTCACTGAAGTTAGCTGGCTGCTAATGGAGCATTCAACAATCATCACCGGTTGCTGTCTGGGCAGTTTTGGACTTGGGTTACACTAGGAGAGTGCAACAGCCTTGGGCTACAAAAGTCTTGATTTGGGTTTGCTACTGGTGTGAATGGGTGGTCTGCTACAAATTGATGCAGTCTTGGGATACAAATTGGCAGATTTGGAATGCTGTGTGATTGGGAGGTTTTTATTTTTTTGTCTCTTTTTCTTTGTTTTGAATTGGTCTCTCGCCAATCTGTGGGTGTAGTGCTAGCAGATGATTGTGCTTCCTCCTTGGTGCCAACCTAGTTGGGATTGTGGAGTGTTTGCTATGATGCTTTTTGCACTTCCCTCCTTTATTGATGTATTTTGTTGCTTGTTTTGGCTCATTTCATCAATAAAGTCTTCCTTTTTTGCTGATCAAAAAAAAAATATAATATTTTTTCACCACCATGTATAAACTAGAGCTTCAAAACCTACCAAACAGAGAGTTTCAAAATCCTAACATAATGAAACAACACCACAAACATGAATGAAACCGATTAGAAGAAAAAACGTGAATAATGGTAACCACTAAAATAGAGAGAGTAATAAAAAGGAAACGTGTATATCCTTTTTCTATATAATACATATCAACAATAGACATAAGAGTATAATAGTCCAACAAATAATATAAATCAAGAAAAAAGGACCTCATGGGATAAAAATATAAATATATGAGACTAACTAGGCTATAATTTTTTTTAAATGTCTTTTTTTTTCCTTTTTTATATTATATTAAAGTTTAATATTTTGATAATAATCGTATATGTTGAACTTTTCAAAGAATTAAATGTCTTTTTTTATTATTATGTTATATTAAAATTTAATATTTTGATAATAATCATATGTGTTAGACTTTTCAAGAAATTTTTTTTATGCTTGTTCTTAATGCATTAAAATGTTATTATGAGAGAAAATAAATTCATATGTGTTGCATTTCAAAGAATTTTTTTGATACTTGTTCTTAATGCATTAAAGTATTATTGTGAGAGTAAGACTTGGGAGTTGGGAGAAGTTAATAAATGCTAAGATTTTTTTTTTTAAATCAAAAAATCATGAAATTTAGATTGGGAGATTGGACCTCCCACAAGGCTTGAGGTTAAAAATCCATTTTTGTTTAATATATTGTATAGAAGTACAGACATAGATAGATACTCCTTCCGTCCCAAAATATTGGTTCCTTTTGGGGAATCCAACTTTTTTTGGTAGTACAATTATTGCATTTGAAAAAAGTTGATTTTCCAAAATTACCCTTTTGATAGTACATTTTTTGGGAATATCAATGTCAAAATTGTATTTTTTATATTGTTTATTAATTTAAAAGAAGGGCAAAATAGGAAATTTACATTATTTTTGTACTTGATTTTTGAAGAGGGACTAATATTTTGGGACAATGAAAAATGGAATAAGGGACTAATATTTTGGGACGGAGGGAGTATTAAAGTTTAATATTTTGATAATAATCATATGTGCTGGACTTTTCAAGAAATTTTGTTTATGTTTGTTCTTAATACATTAAAGTGTAATTATGAGGGATAATAAATTCATATGTGTTGGATTTCAAAGAATTTTTTTTATGCTTGTTCTTAATGCATTAAAGTATTATTATGAGGGTAAGATTTGGGAGTTGGGAGAGGTTAGTAAATGCTAAGATTTTCTTTTTTTTAAATCAAAAAATCAGAAAATTTAGATTGGGAGATTGGAGCTCCCACAAGGCTTGGGGTTAAAAACCCCTTTTGCTTAGTATTTTAAACTAGCATATCACCCGTGCTATGCACGGATTGTGTTTACAATTATCCATATATGTGAATTGTGATTTTTAAATGTCTTTTTATTTTTTATTTTTTAAATGTCTTCTTTTTTTCCTTTTTTATATTATATTAAAGTTTAATATTTTGATAATAATTATATGTGTTAGACTTTTCAAGGAATTAAATGTCTTTTTTTTATTATATTATATTAAAGATTAATATTTTGATAATAATCATATGTGTTAGACTTTTCAAGAATTTTTTTTATGCTTGTTCTTAATGCATTAAAGTGTTATTATGAGCGATAATAATTATATGTGTTGGGACTTTTCAAAGAATTTATGTGTTGGATTTCAAAGAATTTTTTTTATGCTTGTTCTTAATACATTAAAGTATTATTATGAGAGTAAGACTTGGGAGTTGGGAGAAATTAATAAATGCTAAGATTTTTTTTTAAATCAAAAAATCAGGAAATTTAGCTTGGGAGATTGGATCTCTTACAAGGCTTGAGGTTAAAAACCCCCTTTTGCTTAATATATATTATAGAAGTATAGATATAGATAGATTGATATTAAAGTTTAATATTTTGATAATAATCATGTGTTGGACTTTTCAAAATTTTTTTTATGCTTATTCTTAATGCATTAAATTGTTATTACGAAGGATAATAAATTCATATGTGTTGGATTTCAAAGAATTTTTTTTATACTTGTTCTTAATGCATTAAAGTATTATTATGAGGGTCAGACTTGGGAGTTAAGAGAAATTAATATATGCTAAGATTTTTAGAAAACAAAAATATTTTGCAAACTAAAATTTACTAGTGCCACTACATTATCACCATTATCATTGCCTCCACCACAACACCACGACCACCATCACTCTTACCGCCACTGCCAATCCACTATCCCCACAATCGCCACCACCGCTAGTTTCATTACCACCATCACTAATGCAAACATCAGTACATTAATTTTAAGAATGCAACTATACTTAAAAAATATTTATTATGAAAAATAATTTAAATTGTTTTATACTTTTTTTATTAAAAGATATTTTTGCCGAAACTAGCGGAATGTAACCTGTGTTACAGCTGCACAGTAACAATGATGCCGAATATTTTTCAAATGATTAGAGCATATTCACTTTCAACAAACATCTTTAGAACTTTAATTGAGTTCTAATGAGTTGAAATTTTTAAAAAAATATAAGGCTAAAATATCATATCAGATGAGGTTTACATATACATTAGTTCTATTAAAACTCATAAATTAAAACTCCAAAATATTTTTATTCACCTTTTAAGAAAATCAACTTTTTTGGTAATCAAATTCCAAAATGAGACTTGATCCAAGAAGACTTTTCCTCCACCTTGAAAACGAAAGTCGCCAGCTGGAGTAATTATCCTACTTTTAGAATTTTACTTTAATTGTGTGTCCAAATAATAATAAAAAATTAATAATAAAAAATTAATAATAAATTGATTTGATTTGGAATATTAGTTTTAAGTTTTTAAATTCAGAATTAAATCAGCCACGTACTGGAACTTGGAACCAAATCAAACTAATTTAATGTAGCTCGAGTTAAATCCATGATATACTATATTAGAAATGAAAGGATCTATTAATAATAAATGATTAGAAAAAATTAGTTTTGAATATTTTGTTTACAACGCAAAAAAACAAAATATTATTTTAAAATTTAATACAACCAACTATAAATAATCATGTTATGTTAAGTAAATTATGTTGAGACTCACATTTCTTGAAAATTATTGTTATTGTTATTATTATTATTATATTTTATTTTATTTTATGAGTAAATTACACATTACACTTTACACTTCTATATTTTGTTTCAAATCTTACTTTTATCCCTACACATGAAATCATAACAGTTAACTACCTGCAATTTTGATCAAATCGCACTTTAGTCCCTGCACATGAAATTATGACAGCCAACTCTCTACACTTTTGGTAAAATCTCACTTTGGTTCTTACACAAGTATTCACGCCCTTTTTCTGTTACTCAATTGTTTAAATTTTTAACAAAATCTAATCATGTGATAAAAATGTGACTACAACATGACGGTAAAAAAAATCATATACATTTTTCACCAATATACATTTTATCCCAAAATTTATATTAAAATATGACTGTATTAGGCTAAAACAAAAGGCAGATTGTGAACAGTTAAGAAGATGAATTAGTGTTTTGCATAAATTGGAATCACAAAACTCTGTTTTTCACGGTAAAATAGCCTTCTGTCTATTTATCTTTCTTTCTCTTTAATTTCTTTGTCACATTTTTTTTTATTTATTTCAAATACCTTACTTTCTTGCATTTTCGTCCCAATTTTTAACACACACACACACACACACACACACACACACACACACATCATATATATATATACAAAAATTTCTATTTGATTATAAACGAAAATTAACGACAAAGGTAAAATTGATCTAAAATCGAATAATTTAAATATAAAATTAATAATATTAAAAGAATATAAGTTGAATTGATTTTTGAATGATAATTTAATAGGTAAAATGATATTTTCTCATAATGATTTGTAGAGTTTAAATATCATACAATAGGTAGTAAGTAGACTACAAAATTAGATAAATGAGTTGTTCACTTATTTTATTTACATTTAAGTAAGATGGTATTACCTTAGAATAATGCTATATGCACCAATTGATATATCAATCAGTGTAACGAATGATGTGACATAATTTTAGAGGCGATTACCATTTGTTAAGCTTCAAATTTTGATCAAAACAATAACGTGGTCTACAATTTATGACACTAACGTTTCATTTATTTGGGTAAAAATGTAAACAACACTTATCAGTTCTTTAATGGATTAATGTTTGTTTTAGTCATCAAAATTATGGACAAAATCAAAATTTTATCATCAGAAGAGTTAAAATTTGAATAAAAAAGTTTCACCATATATACAAGAACGCATGTACATATACAATAAGATATGTAAGTCATATTTATACACACACAAAAAAATAAAAATAAATAAATATTAATGTTAATTACAAAAAAAAAAAAAATCCAAGGTTTCACAAAATTTTCATTTTAAATCTCACTATTTTTCACTTTAAATCCCAAAATGATTCCCCTTTACCTTATATAGACGGAGATGGACAGAGAGAATACATTAAAACACGGATGGAACTCTAAAATTTAATTTATTAAAATTAAAACACTGAGGTTTAAAATAAAAAACGTGTGAAACTTTAAAAAAAAATTGTAATTAACCCTATTTTATTTTAGAGAAGTGATTGACACCCCCTCCAATCACCACCCCCACTACCCCCACACACATGTGGCGGGTGGTGATTGGAGGAGAAGGAAAAAAAGAAAAAGAAAAAAGAAAAACTGGCTAATCAGGGAGAGAGGGGGTCAAAAGAGATGTCTCTTTGAGGGAGTCCAACTCATTTTCCTTTATTTTATTAATCAATGACATTAAATGAGATAGTATCACGGTTGTTGTACCTATTTATGAAGTTTGTAATTTTGATCAAAATAATATTGTGGTTAAAAACTAAGGAATACTTTTCAAAAGACTGGGATTAGAACATTCATTTATTTTATTTTTTTAGATTGACAGAAGCAATCGGAGGCTCAACTGGAAATTCAGAATCCATTGCTGGCTGCATGGAGAAAGAATTTGACAATTGAAGACTCATCCTTAGCTTTATTGATCATCGTAAGATAAAGAAAAAGAAATAAACATCATAATACAACATTCATAGTGAGGGAGAAATAATCAACTTTTGTCAATTACGGGCATGTTTGATTGACATGATTAGAGTATGAGATTGAGATTATTAATCCATAGGCCTAATAATCCTGTTTGTTTTGAAATTTTGTTTCAGAATTATTAATCCAATGGATAATTAATCCAATAAATTTGTAGGATTATTAGTAATGTGATAGGGGTTAGGGGTGTGCGCGGTGCGGGTCGGTGCGGTTTGAGAGAAAAATAGAAAACCGTATGGCGGGTGGCGGATTGATAAAAGTGTCACTAGAATTTGCCATTTTCCTTATCAAAAACCGGTGGTTCGGTTGGCAAATAATGGCGGATTTGCCTTGACGGTTCGGGCGGATTGGCGGTTTATAAAAAATATAATTCAAATTACAAAACTTAAATCAAAGAGTAAAAAAAAGACGAGAGATACCGTGATGTTAAGCATCTTGCGAAGCTTTCTTCTGATGCAGCAAGTGTAGCAACAACATGATAATATCAACGACTATGCCACCAGTTCATTACAAGCATTTGTGGAAGCTACAATGATCAAATACAATACATAAAATTAATATCATTCAAGGTTTACAATATATTGAAAATGTTTACTGTTGAAAAGTATTTAGATTGAAAAGTGAGTTGATGCAAGTTTGCAACATGGCCAGAAAAAAAAAGATTGAAAAGTGAATTGGAATCAAATTTTATTTTGAATTACTGACATCTTGAATTCCCCTCGAGCAGTAATGTAATACTATATTCCAAGGTATAGAACAACAAGCAAACTTAAGTAAAAAAGAATTTTTAGAATCTTATAAAACATGATTTAATAGCGGTGCGGGTCAGTGCGGTTTGGAAGAAAAATAGAAATCGGCGGATTGATAAAAGTGTCACTAGAATTTGCCATTTTTCTTACTAAAAACCGGTGGTTCGATTGGCAAATAATAACGAATTTGCCTTGGCGGTGCGGTTCGGTGCAGTTTTGGCGGTTTCAGCGGTATTATGCACACCCCTAGGTAAGATTATATATCCTGAGTTGTGAAATAAAATAAAAAGACTCTTTTACCTTCATATGTTTCTTATCCAATGCGAATCAAACAAGGAACAAGGGATAATTTATCCTATTAATACAATTGGATTGTGAATATCACACTAATTTGATGAGATTATTAATATTTTCACTATTAATCTTGTAAATCAAACATTGTCTACAAGTATTAACCCCTTGACCTCCAATGTAAGAGTGTAAAAGAGTGGCGAATTGAATTTAGTCCAGTTGAAAGAATGAATAATTACGCCATTAGTTATTTAATTTTTGTGTATGCTTTTTATTTATATATCATCGCTCATGACAAAAATAAAAATATAGTATACGAAAACATGAGTTTAATATGACGCTGCAAATTTCGAATGACAATGTAAGCTCGTGTACAAGTCAAAGGAGATTCCATAATAGTGCTTAAGAAATTTCAATTCAATGTAGTACTCACAAACATGGCTCTGCCTGTCTGCAACTCTTCGAACCCACTATTCCCATCAAGTATTATTCTTTTTTGTTCTCTCTTCTTCATGCTTTATTACTTCCCTCTTCATGCAATTGCACTGAGCTTCAACTTCACCAATATTAATCCAATGCTTCTAAATATCGACATGACAACGTATCCGCCAGCTTCTATCACTAATAGCCACAAGCAAAGCCCGTCGAGCCATATATAAAAAACCTTTTTACCTTTGGGACGAAGCTTCTGGCAACGTCACAGACTTCAACACCTATTTCGTGTTTGTCATTGCTCAATATAATAAAAGGTTTGCTCCTGCAGATGGGCTCACATTCTTTCTTGTTCCTTATGATTCCACTCCCAATATCACAGCAGGCGCTGCCATGGGTCTTCCAGCCAACCTAACCACCGGCAAAGCGTTCAGTGCCTTTGTTGCTGTGGAGTTTGATACCTATTGCAATAACAAGTTCGACCCAACCAACAAAACTCATGTAGGTATCAATATCAACTCTCTCAATTCTAGTGCTTATGCAGTATGGAACAGTAACATGACAGATGGTGGGTTTGAAAATGAAGCTAGGATTAGTTATAATTCTAGTTCAAAAAATTTGAGCGTTATTCTCGGTACTGTTTCTGTAAATAATGACAGCGCCGAAGGTGCCCTTAGTTTCGTGGTTGATCTGAAGGACTACTTACCAAGCAAGGTTAAAATTGGTTTCTCAGCCTCAACAAGAACTAATTATGAGAGAAATAATGTTAAATCAAGGACTTTCAATTTGACTTTACAAATCGATGAGCCAACACAACCAAGTCCCAGTCCCAGGCCCAGTCCAAGCTCCAACACAGTTACTCATAGCCCTGGAAAGAAGATAGGTGAAAACAACAAAAAGGCACTGGTAGTGGAATTGATTGTCAGCTCATTTGTTTTGGTTGGTGGGTTGGTTTTGCTTGGCTTTGTCCTGTGGAAGAAAAGTAGTAGAGCAAAACAAGAAGATGAGTTTGCTATTGAACTATCCATGGGCAATGACTTTGAGGCAGGTACTGGGCCAAAGAAATTTTCATATGGTGAATTGTTTCGTGCAACAAATTACTTCGTGGACGAACAGAAGCTTGGAGAGGGAGGATTTGGTGGGGTTTTTAAAGGTTTCTTGAGGGAATTGGATTCTTACGTTGTTGTGAAGAGGATATCAAAGGGATCAAAACAAGGAATAAATGAGTATGCATCCGAAGTGAAATCATTAGTCGGTTGAGGCATAAACATTTGGTGCAATTACTTGGTTGGTGTCATGACAAAAGAGAACTTGTACTTGTTTATAAGTTCATGGAAAATGGAAGCTTAGATTACCATCTCTTCAAAGAAAAAAGCTTGTTGACGTGGGCAATGAGGTACAAAATTGCTCAAGGCCTAGCTTCGGCATTGCTTTATTTACATGAAGAATGGGAACAATGTGTGGTGCACAGGGATGTAAAATCAAGTAATGTCATGTTGGATTCTAATTTCAATGCTAAACTTGGGGATTTTGGATTAGCTAGGCTTGTCGATCATGGAAAAGACTCGCTAAACTTGGGGATTTTGGATTAGCTAGGCTTGTCGATCATGGAAAAGACTCTCAAACAACTATTTTGGCAGGGACCAGGGGCTACATGGCACCAAAATGCCTAATCACAGGCAAAGCGAATAAGGAATCAAATGTTTACAGTTTTGGAGTTGTGGCATTAGAGATAGCTTGTGGAAGAAAACCTATCGATCTGGAGGTTCTAGAAAGTCAGCTGAGAATAGTGGAGTGGGTTTGGGACCTCTATGGTACTAACAGGCTTCTTGAAACTGCAATAGATCCATAGATATGCCTAAATTTTGTTAAGAAAGAAATTGAATGCTTGATGATTTATAGCGATCCCGGTTGTCCCTTTACTGTTCTGTTGTATTCCGGACTCAGTTCCGTTGAGTTGATAGTTGTATCTATCTCGTTGCTATCCTTTAAATCCTTTTGTTTAAGTTTTAGGATGTGTTGGGCTTGTGTTGAACAGGTGGGTTAAGCCTTGGTCTAAATCCTTGTTGCCCAGGTTTTTGGTGTTACGCTCGAGCGGGTCATTCTGCGCTCGAGCGGAGTTTGGTTTCTGGTTTAACGCTCGAGCGGGCCGTTTGCCGCTCGAGTGGTGATTGCACACTCCCAGTATTTCGTGTCCCTGCAAAACTTCTGCAGGTGTGTGTAGACGTCCCCGAACGCCCCGGGAGGAACGAGCTCCCGTTCTATTCATTTGGGGTCACTACAGCTCAGGACTCTTAAATTGTCACGGTTCTAAATCTGAACCAAAGAGTCCAAATCCGGCAAATCGTTTTGAGAAAACAGATTTTTAGAAAAGAAGTGCCAAATATGGACTGCTTTGCCAGATACAGAGTCGCCACCTAAATATTTTTTAATGGGGGAATTTAGGAAGCCCTGACTCGTTTGCCTAAGGCCACGTGTCCGTCATTACCAAAGTTGTCTCGGATCGGGAACTTGGGTACGATTGGGGAAGGTCAGCTATGAGCACCCCCTCTCGCCCGATCCGAAGATCGGCCTCTACTAACCATGATATCCAATTTTGAAAACTTTATGTGTTCTTATTTCGGTTAATTAGCTAGAATTACTATGTGATGCGCACAGCAAAACAAGTATAGACTAAATCGCCTAATTTGGAACAAAGCATCGCATATCCATTTGTTTGGAAAATGTAGTATCCTCGAAGTCCAACAACTCAGTGGTAACAGACTTTACTGAGGTAGGCGGGAGGATGACCTCATTGTCGATCAAATCTTGCACTTCATGACGAAGGCGGAAACAACCATCGGTACTGTGACCGGACT